GCCAAGGGGAATGGCTTTAACCTGCCTGAGGGGAGACTGAGATGAGCTCTTAGGCAGAAGCTCTTCCCTGTGAGGGTGCTGGGGCGCTGGCCCAGGGTGCCCAGAGAAGCTGTGGCTGCCCCATCCCTGGCAGTGTTCAAGGCCAGGTTGGACACAGGGGCTTGGAGCAAGCTGCTCTAGTGGAAGGGGTCCCTGCCCATGGCAGGGGTTGGAGCTGGAGGAGCTTTGAGGTCCTTTCCAACACAAACCCTTCTATGATTCTATGATGATGGTGAGAGTCTATCAGAATATTGACTTTTAGGCTGGGATGAAACTAGTCATGCACAGTATCATAGAATCAAGATGTTGATTTATCATATTTCCAGTGAATGTAAATGTGACAACAAATGCAAAGCTGCAAATTGTATTCTAACTGCAGTTTCTTCAAAGATTTGGTCTCAGTCTAGTACTAAGAAGTTTATGGAAAATACCGTCTGCTGTCTTTAGGGACTGCAAAATGAACAACATGTATTTGATGTAGCTAATAACAAACTTTTTTAAATGATGGTTATTAAGGCTAAAGAGTCTCATGTACATGATCCTCCTCAAGATTTCTTGCATGATTAAGTCCTCTTTCCTCTGAATGAGGATTTCATAATAGAAAAATCCTCATAAATAAGAAATCTCATGTGAACAATTTTTTTACTTGGAACTGCCAGGTGAAAAACTGGAAAACAATTCACACCGCTCATTTGAGGAAATACAATTTCTGAGGAAAACCAAACCATTAAGGTGTTGTTTTGCTTATTGTGACAGTGTCAGCTCTTTCAGTGACTATTGACTTTATTGCTTATTGTTAAACGAATGATTTCTTTTACCAGGGTGTTAATGGATTAGTACTGTGTGAAAGCAAGTGGGTGAAAACTCAGAAATCTGTAGAAAATCTTTTATAGTGACAGCAAAATAATTTAAGTCAGAATTAGTGAAAGTATGAAATTATTGCCATCTACTTAACCACTGTTACGCAGTGCCCAGGGAACCACGTTTAGGTGAGCTTTGCAGAGTATCTTATATTAAACAAAGTCTTGCCTGCTCAGGTGAGGCCTCAAACTGCAAGAAACTGTTAGCGTGTCATAAGTAACTACAGCCTGCTGACAAACTATTTCCTTTTCTGGTGCTCAGTGTCTGAATTAGTTTCTTATTCATAGAGTAGGTTTTGTTTAGCTACCAGCTTTGTTACATATTGCTGGTTGCTGGAAGTCCTGTAACTATGCTGGTATCTTTCCCAGTGTAAAATGCCTCTTTTGTACACAGCTTTTATCTCCGCGCTTGTTCTTTTAATGAGCAAGAGAGCACAATAATTCCTCGAAGTCACTCAAAAGGGCAAAGAGAATTTTTCCACTACAATAGTTCAGTGTTTCCTGAGAACAGACTTCAGACGTGGTAACTGCTGTCTTTCAGTAACTGCAAGAAAATAAACCTGTGGCTGAAAACCCAGAAATGGCTGGAGGAAATCAGTTTCAAATGCCAACATGTGGAGTACTCTCTGTACAGGCAAACTGACCATCTGGAATCAGATGCTTCAGTGCCACAGCCTGATCCACTAGAAAAGCCCACTCTACTCATGGTTTGGTTTTTTTTTACATTGGCTCTTTTCTTGGATCTTTAAGCTGGTGTTTAGGCAAAGTATCCACCTACAGAAGCTTCTGAATGGGTTATATGAAGGTACTTTACAATATCATTATAATATGGTACTGCAAAGACTAACAACTCTCCTCTGCTCCCAATTCTGATGTGATGTTCTGAATGGTTTTCATTTAGTTAGGCAGCAGGGGGACAATATTTGTCTAAATTTCCAGAAATTTAATAGAAACCCCATTTCCTATACTCAGGTTTCGACAGGTTCTAAAAGGATGTGGGCCTATTTTGAGAATAGGTAAATGAGATCAATCACTGCAGTCCTTTAACAGGGTTCTCAAGCAAAGTCTGCCATTAGGTTTTGCAGGTGCTTTCCTTGAACCTTTCCAGGCATGAAGAGGCTCAGTAGTTAGACTGAGACCAAATCTTTGAAGAAATTGGTCAGAATACAATTGGGGTTTATTTTATTTTATTTTTTTTCAAACTAGAAGTTAATTTCTGGGGTGGCCAGCTCAGTCACTGAGATGGGCACTCATGTGTGGCGAGGAAACCAGTTTGGTTCTAAAAAAAGTGGGATCCTTCACTTCAGATCCCCACGAAACCCCTGAAGAGCAGAACATGCTGCTTGCTTTAATTAAATGTGATTAAACCAAATCCTTCTTGGGGACAAAGCAACTCTTTCACAGTCACTTTGGGAGTGAACGCCACTGCTGGCAGCATCTTGGGATGACTCACATGCTCAGAAGCTGAGAGAACCAATTCCAGTGCACCACTGGAAATATTACACTGACATTATAGTTCATTTCCCTGTTTGAGTCTTGTGGGACTGGTAAACGCAGGGCTAATTCCCTAAGTCCTACATACAGTTTCAGGCACCAGATTTTTTTCTCAGTTAACACTGTTCTTGTCATCTTGATTTTGTCTTACGGGTGGAATTACCATAGACATATTACGCAGGTGCTGTTAGTTACACATTCTCTTCACCTCACTGACTGTATGTTCCCTGCTTCACCAGCAGCAGTTTAACCATAGCCTGAGGCTGTTTTGTTGTTTACCAACTTATCTCTTCATATGAAATGTTAGACAGGAACACCTTTGCCAAGGAGGCAAGTCGTGCTTCAGTTCTGCCCAAGAAAATGAAGACTGAAGTAGAGCAGATGTGTGAGGTATGACAAACATGGACCCTTCTGTTTGCGTGTGCTCCAAGTTTTTCAGTGTATGGAAGTCTAGGAAAAGGAATGTGGCACTAATGGAAAACAAGACCTTAATAAAAGCAGCTAAAGATCTTGTGATGTAAGGCTGACGAACAGCTGCCTCTTTAAATGGAGGCTCCAGACCCAAGATGCTCCTGTTCTGCCTCTGCTCATAAGGCAATGCTTTGTCTCTAATGATTTGAGAAAAAATGTCATAAAACAAAATTAAAACCAAAACCAAAACCACCTGGGGAGTGATGGTAGTGGGGAAGCTGCAGTGCAAGAGGGGCAGCAACTGTGGAGGGAAGGAGCAAATGTAAACCCCTGGTGCTGGTAGAAGTGCAAGTACTGTTAAGTTGTAATAAGAGGGCATGTCACAGAGAATCACTTTCAGTGACAGTTGCCGGCTGAAGAATTAAAACAAGCAAAACAAACAGCCAAGCAAGACAGCATAGGGGTATTTTCAAAGGATTCTAAACAAAGAGGAAGCACAAGAAAAAGAGAAGGCATTTAAACTGTAACCAAGGTCATAACTCATACAAACAACTTGAAAGGTATGACAGCATAAAAAACCAACGATAGAGACAATAGTTATCCATTGTTTAAAAGAGGTGTCAATGTACAGTCAATAGATTCACACCTTAGAGAAGGCCAGGTATACCCTTCTCTGTTATATGCTAAATCCAGAGTTCTAGTTTCATTCTGACATCTGTAGGAACTTAAAGCCATGCAGAATTTCAGACAATATGGTATTCAAACTCCATTTAAATTTGCGGTCAGATCTGCTGTAGTATGTAGCCAGTGGAGCTGTGCTGAGTGGTGCCATACAAAGACTGGCTGGAGGCATTTTAATGTTGCTGTGTTGATCCTTGTTTTATTTATGGCAGTTGGAATTTTTTAATTTCTCTGTTTAATAAGTAGCATTTTGTGAGTATTCTGATCAGATTTGGTCTGATTAAGCACTGCCTCTTTCCTTTTCAGCTGAGGATATGCTCACCATTTAAAAACACCTTTGTTATTTTGGTTATGGTAAGTAGGAGTTTAGGGTTTTTTTTAGTTAAAAATAGTCTGAATTTTTCTAATGCGTATTTCTGCCAGTGTGCATAAACCCTTTTCATTTCATTCCTGTATGCCAAAACTTTCTAACCTGTGTTAACAGGGTGTTTCATGTACAAACCAAAGCAAGTATGGACTCAGGGGAATGTATGGGCAGGTAATGTTACTAATTTTCACTCACACTCCAGCTCCTGTTTGTTTATGCACGTCTTGTATACGATGTGTGTCCAGAGTGTGAACTCCAAGATGGGAACTGGATCGCTTTTGTATTTCTGGCTCTGGTTAATACACTGAGGGTCAGATTAACAATTACGGTCCCCAGGAACTACCTCACAACATGGCTGAATGACCTCTGTGTTCCTGGGGTATCAGGCTTAATTTGTAGAATTATTACTGGCAGTCATTTAGACTGGGAGTGCTGGAATATCTGTCCCAGTACTGTGCCTCCTTAGGGGGCAAAGGTGACTGAGCTACTCGCCTTTGGAAACAACCACAAGTAACCCTGACTGCTAATGATTGTTAAAAAGTTGTTAAATGGTCAGAAATATCAGAAATAAATGACCAGCTACGAGATTTCCTGTTTTCATAGCATACTGATTTTATTTATTTTCATGTATTTAAAAACACCATTTTAAAAATATTGTTGTGCATATTTGAGTTTTCAGCACTAAAGCTGCAGTTATAATCATTAAGCCTTCAACAGGAATTATATCGCTTCTGTCGCTGGGAGAGGCTGAAATTCCACTGAATAACACAGAAAACCTATTTAATTTGGAGCTTCACTTCGGAGGCCGTGAGCTCCCTCCCCTGAGCTGTGGGCAGGGGTGTGAGCGCAGTCTCACCGCCTGCTTTACAGCTGCTCCGGTCGCCCGGCATTAATCTTTTGAGGGCTGCCTCCTTCAAGAAAACAAGCCAAGGGGAAGCCTCCCCCTTGCTGTGCTCCAGCAGCGCAGCGCAGGAGGACGAGCACTTCACCACCCTGTTAACAAAAGGAAAGCTGCTTTTTTACAGTGCTAAAGGTCACGAAGGCATCCAAGCCAATGCTTCCTTCCCCCCTCCTCCAGAGTGGGGATGATCTGAGAAGGAGGAAACCTGCAGCTTCTGTAGCTGGGTTTTATTACAGACAAAGACACAGCTGCAGCAGGAGAGAGTAGGAGACTGCTGGCAGAAAGGGGAAGAAGTTGTTCTAAGGGATTTTCCTGTTCATCACTGTTGCCACATTCACTGCACAGCACTAAACTCTCCTCTGACCAAAACGTTGTCTTCTGGACTATTCTGGACTATTACTGGAAAGTGGAAGCATGGAGAGTTTGTTCACACTTCTGTTGGAGACAGTAAATTTCTCCTTTTAATTTTCAATGTTATTTGCAGATTAGAAACTCCAATACTACACAGTATTATCTTTGCTAATGAGAGAGAGAAAATGGATGCATTCAGAGCACCTGAAAATGAGTCCCTTTTGTCCAGTTCCTCTGGTGCTGCCAGATGGGATCCCTTCCGTCGTCCATTGGACTCCATCCAGCCCTGGCACTTCAGGCTTCTGGCAGCAGTAATGCTGGTGGTGACCTCCCTGTCGCTTGCTGAGAACCTGGCTGTGATCCTGGTAACTGTTAAGTTCAAGCAGTTGAGACAACCTGTCAATTATGTTATAGTCAATTTGTCCGTGGCTGATTTTCTGGTCTCACTGACTGGTGGCATCATCAGCTTTTTAACAAACCTAAAAGGTTATTTTTATATGGGATACTGGGCGTGTGTCCTGGAAGGATTTGCTGTCACATTTTTTGGTAAGCTTGATTTTGTTTGTAGCTGTATGTTCTTTTCCTTCACCTTCCTTCAGTGTATTCCAGTAGCTATCCTGCAGCTTCCCTTGCACGCTTTTCACTCGCTGGTTCTTTCCCCAGTTAAATATATTCTGTCTTGGATCTCATGTGTGAGTTAATAATATATATTACTATCTCTGTCATATACCAGTGGCTTGTTGCATGTACACTGAACACTGAATATGTTTAATATAATCACAAAAAGTGTGCTAAAAGTCTAACAGCTTTGGGGCGAGGAGGAGGTTGAGTAAAACAACGTCAGGGAAAATTTCTGTATGTGTAACTAGTTTCAAGGTTTGTATCTAGGTGTGTGTATGTGTGAATAAATAACAGAGAGAGAAGAAGAGTGAGTAGCTGCTTTTAAACTGTGGAAAATATTATGGAAACATCTTACAGTAGCTGCCTGTGGGGTTATAGCAATGCTATGGCTCAAACGGTCTCTCCACACACCCACTGTTTTTGTTTCTTTACTTTGTTTTACTAACTACGCAAAGTATCAGAAGTCCTCTAACAGGGAATATCCTCACCACATAGATCCCTGTGTAAATACATCTCTGCAGAATAAATGGAAAATAAGTTTTAAATGGGTTCTCTTCTTAAGAGAGACATTCCTGCCTCCCTGTTCCTGTTTTTAAAGCTGCTTAGTAAAGACAGCCTTCTGACTCTTGGCACTACTCTGAATCAAACGCATTCCTGATCTGCAGCCTGAAAAAGAGCCCCAGGTTGCTCTCAGCCTGATTAAGTTACAGAGAGGGAATGTTGGCACGGGACAGTGATGCTAAATCAGTCTGTGGCACGTAAGCTGTGTCTCATGAATGAAGAGACACAGACACCTGGATATTTTAAGGGTTTGGTGGCCAACCAGGTGATATGTGCCTGATAAACTGATAATTTGTTGCTGTGGGCAGCTGTCTGTAGGTCAGAGCTTTATGGCAGTCTGAAATATGACATTTCTTGCAATGATAGTGTTTTGAAGATATATCCTAATTTGTTTATTTGGAAGCTACACATCATTTGGAGGTTTTCAGAGTAAAACTGAACGAAAAAAAAGAAGTCATTGTTAGATAAGTGGCCCAATTAGCTGCTTGGGGTTGCAAGTCATTGTACTGTAGACTGACAAACTGGACAAATATGAAAATCTTGTGCTCTTAATAAATATTAGAGTAATGCACATAAATAGCACAATCTTTCATAACCTTGTGTTAATGAAAGAGATGATGAAGAGGTGCCTGATCAAACACTGGGACAGGTTGACCCAGGGTGGTTGTTGAGTCTCCATCCATGGAGATATTCAAACCCCAATTGGAGTTGGTCCTGGACAGCCTGCAGTATGGACCGTGCTTGAAGGGGGGAGGTGTGTGTGTGGTGGGGGGTGTGTTGAAGTAGGTGACCTCCAGAGGTGCCTTTCACCCTAACCAGCTCTGGGATGTGGGATCGTGCTTGCTTTTCAGTGAATCTTCCCAATTTTTGACACTGTCTGTGTTTTCCTACAGGCATTGTTGCTCTCTGGTCTCTTGCTCTGTTGGCTTTTGAGCGGTACATTGTGATCTGCCGCCCATTGGGAAATATGCACTTGAGTGGGAAGCATGCAGCCCTGGGTATTGCCTTTGTGTGGACCTTTTCCTTCATTTGGACCATTCCACCAACAATGGGTTGGAGCAGTTACACCACCAGCAAGATTGGAACTACTTGTGAGCCTAACTGGTAAGGCCACTCTTACAGGATATGGTAAAGAAATGGAACTTGCAGCTCAGGACATCTCAGGGGCAGGAATTTAAAGGAAAGGTTTAAGGATGATGTACATCTCTGCAAAAATTGATGTAAAGGAAGTTATAGCAAAACTGAGCAAAATTCGCCAAGAACAGAATTAAAAAAAAAAAACAACCTAAAGGAAATCTAAAGGAGGAGCTTCCACCTCTGATGACAAGAGCTGTCCTGCACCTTGTGCTTTTGTCAGCATTCATAGAGGACAAATAGACAGGTTTTTCAGAAGACTGGGCAAAGCCTTGAGCAGCCTGGTCTGACCCCATAGCTGACTCCACTTTGAGCAGGAGGTTGGGCTACATGCCCTGTCCTCCCGAACTGTCCTACAGTTCTAGGATGCTGTGGCCATAGGATCCTGTCCTAGCCCATGGCCAGGGAGGTGGCCCAGGGCTCCACCTGGTGATGTGATTAGAGCTGTAATGAACGAAGCAGTTGACAAAAATACTAGTGACAGCCTTGAACAGCAAAGTTAGACAGAGGTTAGTAATACGTACACAATGTATTTTGTGTTTTATACAGGTACTCAGGAGCTTATACTGACCGCACATACATTATTGCATTCTTCACCACCTGTTTTATAGTGCCTTTATCTGTGATTTTGGTATCCTATGGAAAACTGATGCAGAAGCTAAGAAAGGTAAGAAGAAGCACTTATAAGTAAAATTTCACATGTGTGCATGCAAACATTTTGAATTTATGTGTTCAATTTTCTATGAAGATCAGACAAACGCAGATCAAATTTCCAGGCAGGAAATGCACTCGGTTATCATCCCTTGTAATTTAATGATCCTTAAGCACAGAAACTCATGGTATGGTTAGACTTTTCAAAGTGTGCAGTTTGCAGTCACTTATCAATGCATCTCATTAGCCAACTCTCATACCAATGAAAGAATGTCTGTCTTATAACAAAAGAAACTGAATGACCCAGTGTTGGTCTGATCGCAATTGTTCTTCAATTCAGTGATGTTTCTTAAGGATCAAACCAGGTAAATCAAAATTTAGCTTAAAATGACTGTAAATGTTAAGGGTGCTGGCTAATACTCTGTAACACTTGCATGCAGAGTAAGTTGTAGCATCTATAATCTAATGCTGTGTAGTAAATAAAATATTAGATTGTCCAGGAACATTTAAAAGACTTGGGAAATGCTTTTGAATTTTATTTAATGATTATGTTGACTTGATCTAAAAAGGTATCTGCAACAAGTGAAAAAGAAGACAATAAAATAGGAAAATTCATATTTGGGACAGGATTTTGGGGCAATATTTTTCTTTCTATTTGCTGCTATTAGCTGTCTTGTCTTATTCCTTGAGTAATAAATTCAGTAAATTTCTTCAATTTACTGATGTTTTGAAAGTATTTGGGATAACCAAATGCTTGTATTTATTCTTAGTGTCATTTTCTATAAGTAAAACAAAACAGAAGGCAAATGCATAAAATATCTTATTTTTTCATTAGAAAATACATGCATTAGGAAAATGCATACTGCAGGTGACAACAGCATTCCTCTAAATGGATTTTTGATGACTTCCCCAGGATGCATTTAGGGGAGAGAAGGTTAAGTGGCTGAAGGGAGGTTGATTTCAGTGTCAAACACAAGGAACGTCCCAGATTGAATGTGAACTATAGCACAGGCGTGTTGCTGCTCACAGTGCTCATGGTGAGGCAGCAAAGGGTCTGGTGGTGTGAGGGTGGGGGACATGAATTACAAGACATTGAGATACTTGAAGAAAATCACTGTTGATGACTCAGACTTTTCTGAGATAACTTGTAAAACTGCAATCCTGTTATTCTGAACATCCAGAACATTTATCAGTATTTTATTTTTCCCTGTCCAAACCTACCCACAGAGGAAATGGAATGGAGAGAGCACAGGCCAAAGTGGCCCTGGTGATCAGACATGAAAGAGAGGGATGTTAACCCAACAGAGACAGTGTGCAGCCAAGCATTCAGCACTATGATGGGTCTGCCAGAGCAGTGGCTGTTGTGCTACTAGGATGCTTCAGGAGGTACACAGAAAGGGTCATTTCCTTCCTCCAGGATAGCTACTTAAGTGGCTGGAAGTTAAACCAAAAACAGGTGAGATGAGATAAAAAGGAGTCAGAGAAGGAAAATGTCACCATCAGTCACAGCAGAAGCCAGGGAATGGTCCATCATGCCATTTGGGTCAGGTCAGGGTATCTTCTGAAAGACTGATCTGTGCCATGCAGCGGGTCCCAGCATTGGCCTGGAGCGACTGTTGTGTGATCTCACTAGGCTTACTTTCTCACTCCTTTTTCTGTTATCCAGAAAGAATAGCGGTAATGTTAAAGAAAAGAATAAATCACACCTAGGGTTTCCTCTGCCAGCTTAGAGACCTGGCAGACCACACAGCTGGGAGATGCTGGGGCAGCCTCAGGGCACCACATCACAAATGATTTAGCCATAGCCTGTGCCAGCCCTTGCCTTTGCCTTTTGTTGGCTTTTGCAGGTTTTTGCAGAGTGATGTAACTGTCTGAGTCAGCCTCTGTTACTTACAATAGCTTAAAACAAACTGGTGTAGAAAAGCCAACTGCCTGGAATATAGTCTTTAAATTTATAATAAATTGTCATAAGGTTATATCTCACAACTCACAAGCTTATATCTCACAACTAAGCTAATTTTCTGACTGCAGTGAATAGAGAGATCCCTGCACCAGAACTGGTGTCCTGATGTTTCTAGCCAACCCCCTTCCCTGATTTTGAGGGCCATTTCCCATGGTTGCCACAGTGCGATGTCGTGTGTGACACTGGTTTGTCTTAGAGAAGTTTGCTAGTCCCTCAGTCTCCGTGAGCCCAGCTTTACAAAGCCAATGGTAGCTTTCACTGCAACTGAAAAACTAATGAAATAAAGAAACCTTAGGAAAAGGTCTAATTAGCAGTTTATAATGGAGATAAATTATTATGGCACTATTCCTTTGTTTGCAAGATGGTTCCTTCTCAGTTTCATGTTCTCAGCTTTAGAAAGGAAGGAAGCTACTGTCATCCACAAAAAGCCATAGTTGAGAAAAAAGCCAGACTGATGTGAGACAAGGGTGAAACATCCAGGAGATTATGTAGCCATTGCAGCTCCACTGAAGCTAGTGATGTATAGCAAGTTGTATCACCCAAAAATGTAGCCCTAATTGTTTCGTGGTTTTAGAGGTAAGTTATTGTTATCAGATGATACCAGTTGCTTGTTCTGTCAGGGTCATTGTTTCTGAACAGAGGCCAAATCTTGTCTCTGATCTGACTTAAAAATCATTAGGATTACTTTTCTCACAGATGGAATTTAAAGGTGTTTCTGTATTGCCTTGGGGTGGGCTGATGCAGCACCCATAAAGTTATCTGAGCTAGATCAACTTTTGTGGCTCTGGACAGCAAACCTGTGCCACCGCTTCACTGCTTGTGACTTGGCTGAAGTCTTGGGGGTGTCTCTGCAGGCTGCAGTTGTGCCCGACTGCAATTAGATTGCTACACAGAGGTTGCCCTGGTAATTGCTTTTTGCTCTCACTTTGACAATATAAAGACACCTAAGCAAAGGAAATAACAATGTACAGTAATTCATGTCCCTCAGCAGTAACACCTGACAGACACCCTGTGGTCCAGTAACAGCATCCTTATGTGCTGCCATACTCAAAGAGAGTAGGTGTTTCCTTCTAGCATGGCAGATTGTTAACCTGTTCACTAACTGCACTGGTTGGAGGCCTTGTTTTCTAGAATCTTCTGTTCTTTTCTTTAAAGGTGTCAGATACACAAAGCAGGCTGGGAACTACCAGAAAACCTGAAAGACAAGTGACTAGAATGGTTGTTGTTATGATCGTTGCCTTTCTAATCTGCTGGATGCCATACGCCGCCTTTTCTATCCTAGTCACTGCATATCCCTCCATTGAGCTGGATCCTTGTCTGGCAGCAATTCCAGCTTTTTTTTCCAAAACAGCTACTGTTTATAATCCAGTTATTTATGTCTTTATGAACAAACAGGTACTGTATGCTCTCAAAATGTCTTTAACACTCATATTTTGTTATTTTATCTTGCTTTATAATGAATTATTTCTACTTACCTACTAGGCAACTATGTTAGCTTTTATAATATGCTAGCATTGCAATATCCAGCATTTAGAACCAAAAAAAAAAAAAAAAAATCACTGTAACAGGCATGATAATAAACTTGAATAGATTTATGCTATGTAGCTACTAAGAGTGGTGGCACCAAGCAGAATATAAGCATGTAAGTGAAAAGAAGAAAAATAGTGAAGTGACTGTTGAATAAGAAGTGATGAATATGTTTATTTTCTCAGTGCTGCAGAGAAAGCTATTGCTTATCTTGCATGCTATGGACAGTACCCCGATCTCCCAGTGTGTGGCAGATGTCTGCTGGTTTTCCCTTGTTCATGGGTATGAACAGCATGGAAAGAAACTGTCTTTGAATAGCTGGGTATTAGCATATGAAAGCAACTCATGAGACTGGAGAAATGACCCGTTTTGTCAGAAGAGGAGACTTCGTTTTGGGAATAAGATTTTCCAGTAGTCTGGGTCTTTTTAGAGCATCATTATTTCTCAGTTTTAGAGTTCTTCATGGTGATGCCGGCAGATATATTTTATGGGGCTACTTCCTTATGCTCCCAACTGACTCTGAAGAGAATTTCCAGGAGTTTTAGCTAAGACACAGACTGCTTTATAGAGATATTGTAAGATTCCACGTGTTCTGATTGATCTTTTATTCCACTTTCTAGTTCAGGAAGTGTCTGATTCAAATGTTCAGCTGCTGTGCCGTAGAAATTGCAGAGTCCAACATGAGCCCGACTTCAGAGAGAGCGATGCTAACCCAAGACAAAAGAGGCAGTGAGATGTCCACCATGGCAGTACGTAGCAGCGTTTCGAAGAGGAAAAATGGAGATGAACACAATTGCTGATCTTCTGCTTAGTTGGCAGCTTCATAAAACAAAATCTGTCCCATGTAGGGTGGGAGATAAGATCATTAACGCAGTGCCAAAGCATATTTCCTTGTTACCGTCACTTAATACAAAAATGTTGTCAGTAGGGACACTAAGCTCCTGTGAATACCGGCTTTTGAGATTCCAGGCTCCTGAATGATACAAGATTTTCTTGGCTCTGCAGTTGCATCCAGACACCTGGCCATAAGGTGAGTCCCTTCCTCCGCTGTGTTGTTCTTCCCAATCCACAGCCTGCTTGCTCCTGAAAATAACATCAGGGGATCCCAGTGTTGCTGTGCTGGCACGTAGCACAGTAAGGATAGGAGAGTTTTATGCTGATGATAGCTCCTTGGTCAGCTGGACAAAACCATGAACTGACACAGGGCTTCAGTAAGCTAACGGACAAATAAATAATATCTAGCACTCAGGTGACTCAATTTCAGGCAATGGAGGTTCTGAGAGGAATGGGTCTCAGTGCTTCTCTGGTTGGTTTGGGAACTTTTACTAAAACAAACAACAAACAAACCAGAAAAAGCCCGAAGCTCTGCACTTGTTTCTGTTCTTGGGGAAAATCTCAATGGGCCACTGAGACCTGCACCAGCTTGGACAAGCCATCCAGACTCCCAAGCCCTATTTTAATAATACGAACCCTATCAAGGGCTGTTCATATCCTCTCTCTGCATTCCCTCTTTGTCAAGAAAATATTCTGTGCTTGTGGCAACTTTTGAAGTAAATTAATTTGGACTGGATGATTGTTTTAGGTGCCTTCCAACTGAACTATTCTATTAACTGAACTTTAGAACAGGAGTTAGCAGCATATAGGACAGTGTAACTGTGCCGGAATGCTGGAGGAAGGGCCAGTAGCACAGCTTAGAGTTGTGAAGCTGAGCTTTGTGGGACCGAAGATTTCCCCTGTATGTGCCTGCATTGTGCAGAGTTGAGATCTGTCGTGTTCTTGAGACCATGAAGCTCCAGGTGACAGCTATCATTTCTGTTTCTTAGCACTTAGAATTGTCAGAAATCAGTGCTTGGAGAATACAAATGCTATGTACAAATCATGCTGGAGCATGCTGATGTATGCATTTCCATTTGCACATTTTGACTTTTCTCTCTTCTGATCTAGGACATGCCTCTCCAGAAAGCACAAGCAACATCCTAGCCTAGTAGGCAAGCTGCAGCAGCCAATAGCACCACGCTGCTGTGCTCCTTTGAGGGGCAGTTGTGTCCCTGTCTCTGCAGTCCTTACTTTCCTGTTTCTGCCTAAGTCACATCCTCCCTACTTTTAACTGAGCAGATCCCTACTGATCCTGGCAGAAATCATTAACTTTTTATTATACTTTTGATATCAGAAGCAAGGAGTGCAACAACACATTTTCTGTAAATAGTGAAAAAGAACAGAACTTGCCAGCTTTCCATGACCGTACTCCATCTTGGATATTTAATTCACACAATGACATGCAGCAAGATACTTAGCTTTAGCAGAATATTATGCACACGCAAAACCAAACAACTAGCCCATGAGTGTAATACAGCCAGACTTCTGCTTTAAATAGCCCTTGGTGAACAGCATACGAAATGTTTCTAAGACCTGGCATATCAGATTTTGAGTCCTATATAAGATCTACGCCTTATTTAATGCATTTTAGAAGAAACTGCAATGGCAGGCTATATTTAAATGCTTTAGTATGGAAATCCATTATTTCTGGATAAGGCATTAATACAGTGTGACATTGAAACAAATGTTGCTCCACAGTGTTATGGAGAAACTACACTAGCTGCATACAGTACAGGCCTTAGCAATAGCAATGTGATATGGAATGAATCATTCAGTGTTCAGCTTTATTTCAGAAAACTACAATTTCTTTACACAGAATAAAGACATTATGTTTCTACCAGATTTTTCCCTCTCTTGTTATTTTGCTAAGTTACAACTTGAAAAACTGCAGTGCCCTGAAAAGGAATGACAGGCTACCTGAGAGATCTGGGGTCACACCTGGTGCCAGAGCAGTTCCTGGCTGAGCTGGAACTATTCCCGCAGCAAAGGAGGATGTTGGTGGATGAGGGAAAGGTAACACAGACAGAAAAGCATATCCTGAAATGCTGGCGTCTTGCAAAGGCCGAGTTCTTTGTGGTTCTTGTGCTCAAGAGGAGATAAAAGGTGCAGCTTCCACACAGGGGTGGAGGGACAGGCATGGGCAGCGAGGACTGCTTGGCCGCCCATTTCTTTTGTCCCCCCTTGCAGCATTCACACCAGTGGACCTACAGAATAATTCAGCCCCATATGTCTGCACAGCCCTGACTTTCCAGTGCATTTTGCTTTAGCAATCTAACCACGGAGGCAGCAATGACAGCAGTACGTGGGAGAAAGCACAAGCTCCTCATCCCTCCTCCCTGTCATCAGTCTTCTTGTGGGGATGTGTTTGGGTTGGGGGTCCAACATCCGCCACCCCCACTTCTGAAGGCAATGTGGAGCTTGCTAACAGGTGGGAGGGTAGCCTGCCTTAGGGAGCAGTGTACCTGACATTCACGACAAACAGGTTATAACAGGTAAGTCTGGATACCTGCTTTAGGCAACTGCTGAATATTTTTTTAATCAAATATTCAATTTCATCATCAATTATTCAATAAGAACTTTCTTTTAAAAGATCCTTTAGAAATGCATATGTAAAATGTGATTTCTGTGAAGCTTTCTCTTAACACTCCAAGTGGTCAGTTTCTTTGGTCCTGTTTTTCTTCCCCTTCACCCAACCACCCATTGTTCTCATTTAGGACAAAAGCCTCAAGCTGGCCAGGGAAGGTTTAGACTGGAGATGAGGAACAATTCCTTTCCAAAAAGGGTGCTCAGGCATTGGAACAGGCTGCCCAGGGCAGTGCCAGAGTCACTGTCCCTGCAAGTGTTCCCAAACTGTAGAGATTGAGGGCCTCAGTGCCATGGGTGACCTGGGCAGTGCTGGGAACGGTTGGACTGGATGAGCTTTTAAATATTTTATATAAATGTATATAGATAAATGGATCCTCTTTTAAATATTTCATAAATATTGTGAGACAGGAAGGGTAAGGTATTAAATTATTATTTGTATGCATATTTTTGTGTTTATTAGTGTGTTAAAACAGTGACGTATGATTTGAAGGAAAAAATTCCTGCATTTAAGACTTAGATTTTCTCTTTCAAGGATATGTTGACCTAGGTTAATCACATGTTAATGGTACTGGATATATTAAATCATGAAGAATTGGCAGAAGTGTTAGTATTTAATTAAAAGCAACAGAATTATTTTATGTCCTGAGAAGGTGACGATACGTACAGATTTGTAGTACAAAATAAAGCATCAAAACTTAAGCAATGGCAGAGAAATAAATGCAAAAACCTTAGAAAATAGCAAGTTAAAAAGACAATTGCCATCTGTTACCTGGCTCTCTCATCCCCAGTGCAAGTCACCCTTGGTGAAGTGGTACTGGTGAGCCTTTTAGAACATTTCACTTACTTAGGAAAACCTGGTTTTCACCTATAAATTGAGGACATCAGTTTGTAAGGATAGCCAAAGACAGTGTCTCCAACTAACAAGAATGGAAGCACACCCAGTTAATACACTAAGAGCCAGCGTGAGGTTACCTGTAGGTCGCATTGCCATTGTGCGTGGCGAGGTGGATCGTCTGACATTAGGCTTTGAGTTACTGCACTCAACATTACAAGGAAGGGTATTCATCGAGGACCTTAAGGGCAGTGCTCACATTTCAGCCACAGAGCAGACAAATAACCTTGGCTTTTTTATAAGGGAGCACTACAGCACAACAGAACAACATAGGAATCCTTAGACTGAAAGAATGTATAGGAATACACTGAAAAATCAGGACATTAAGCCCTGCTTCCTTTTGCCTAGTCATAAGCAATTGCTAGAAAGAGAAGGCAAGATTTTCTCCTAAAGCCCGGTACCAGAGTCCACACTGCCCATCCATCTGCAGCACTCCTGCCACAGCTGCCCGAAGCCCTTCATAGTCAGAAGTTCTAACAGACTTCTTTTTCTTTGTGCAAACCCAATTGTCATGTACTTTTTTTCTCAGGGGAAACAATTTTGAGATACCTTTCAGGGGCTGACATTTAGAAAAAGATTTCTCTAACTTTGCTTAGAAACTGCAGCATTTTCTGTACTTTTCTGGTTATTAAAGTTGGAAAACAATAAGAAAACATGGAAAAAAAGAAACCCCATATTTTCCTATTCAGTCTTCAAATTATTGCTGTTCCCTGGATGGTGGTAAAGCACTGGCAGTGTTCTTTTCACAGAGAAGCCTTAATCAAGTTGTCAGTTTTCAAAATTAAAGGTAATTTTAACCACTTTCTTACTGTTTGCACTCAACTGTTCTGCTGTTAATCAGTTCACCTGACCAGGATATAAGTGACACATGAGCTTTGTCAACTAAACCTGTGTTCCTAGTGTGAAGCTCTATCTTATGCAGAAACAGTTCACGTCAAATTCCACATGCAGCTCATAGCTTAACTACAGCTGTTAAGATTTGAACTGTACTCCTTCCACATGAGCCTGTTTAGCACGCTTTAATAGATTATATTTATGGTTGTCTTATATAATTTTGCCACTCTCTTACACAAACACTGACATGCAGCATGCACAGACATAAAAATGTAGGTTGCAACAGGGCGATATGAAAACTAGTGGGTTTGGACAAATAGAAAATTAGTATTAGAACCTAATTAGACTTTATTTCATTTAGAGAAGGAATTAGTCTTAATAGGACCACGGAGCCATCACAAATGTTTTCTTTCCATCACGTAAAATAGTGAACAAACCTTAATCAATCATTCTCGTAAAATGCAGGGTGTCTGCAGTATTTCTCACTGTCCACAGATTTTGTTTGGTTTCTGTCCTGGGTTCTTTTGTTAAGAAACAAACAGGTACTCCCCTAACTGTGGGTAAAGCCGTTTTCCTCTTAACCTGCTGGACATACATACACAACAAATGTTTATTTGAAAATGTTTACCAGCTCTCCAGCATTAACATTCCCTGTCTCTACTGGGATGCCGTCTGTCTGTCTTTGATACAAATAAGGAGTAATAAATCTGTGCGAGTTCTCATGTTAAAATACCTTCATCAGTGCTGTTCAGGAGAATACCTTTTTTCCTGCCTGTCAGTCGCAGAATAGTGTTTGAAACGCGTGTACGCTTTGATGCATTGGTATGGTCCAACCAAACAATATCAGCCCTAACACAAAGTATTACAGAGGTCCCAGAAGTTGATTGCTAAGTCTTTCAATGTAATACAACAACAAGAAACTTAGAATTAAAGGGAAAAAAAAGGGCGCAGGTTCTGCTTTGGGATTTTGGGGGGTTTATTGAGTTGCACACAGTGACTGGAAAAACACCTCTTGCATTATGTGATAGGAGCACAGCATGAACATCTTACCCTACACAAAAATTAAGTAAGTTATGCAATGGATGGTGTTAAAGGCCTTAAGATTTCATGGCTCAAAGGTGTGAATGCTGCCAAAGTCAACCTCCTCACACTTGGTTGTGAACTAATAAACAGCCTCTTGTGCCCTTGGATGTTTGTTTTGCCACAGAAAGCATGTCTGGAAATCACACCCCTTCTCTCAGTTTTATAGCATTATTTGCAGTTTCCAAAATTACCAGTGTAACGCTACTCCATTATTCTGCTTGTGATCATTTATTACATTTTAATGATGTAACCTAGATAAAATAACTGACCTTCCTATAAATCGTCCATGACATTGGGGGATAATTACTTTTTTGCTTAAAAGCATCAGCAATAATCCACCCATTTACTTGTTTACAATGGAAATAGGTTTTTTACAAAAATAGAAATTGTGGTTGCCATAAGAGCTACTGCTGTGTTAGGAGGTGATGCTGGTTCCTTTGGGGTAACAGTAAGAAAGGCACTGACACTCTAGGCAAGCTAAATGGTTTATTGAGTAGAAAATGAAAATTACGGAAAATTTAATTGCAACTTGAGGACCCTTCTGATGCTGGGAACCCCAGTGGGAGCTCCTACAAACAGCATAGGTAGTGTTGCTAAGGGTGGTGCATACAAAATGTCACAGAATGTGCTTAGCTTATATAGCAGGTCACTCGTGATAACATATGGGTCTCTACAGCCAAAGCCTGTGGTTAAACTCTGCCTAGATTCTGGCTGAAACTACTGTCTCCTAGCTACAATGTCTTCTGCAGTGGTCCACCACAGGTGCTCTGCATTTCTAGTTGTACCAGCATTTTCTTTTGGGGGAAAAATTAAATCAAATCTCTTCTCAGGGCTGTATATTCCTCAGCCACAAAGCTGAGGTCATGGCTGAGCTCTGGCATGGGGAAGGGGAAGAAAGCTTTCAAAATCAATTATTTCAGTAAGAGAGAAAATCCTGAGGTTTAAGAACAGATCATCCAGGCTATTTTCCATAGGCACAAATCTAGAGGAAGAGTACATTTTAAAATGTTGTAAGATCAACTCACCTCACCCACCCACTGGCAAGGAAGAAGGTGAGGGCTCAGTCACTGCATGATGTCTTGGTGCACTTCAAAAACTTTTCATTCTTACTCCAGAAACAGACAATGCCGTTTCTCCAGGGATTCACTACTGCTTTTTGTAGATAGGAATACCTTAACACGCAGATTTTGTTCCTTCTAAGCTGAGTTTCTGTTGCCAAGGGCTCTGAAAGCAAAAAGGCAGCTTAGCAATCAAATCAAGTTTGATAAACACATTTCTCTGCGTTCCCGGCTTTAGCTGCAATATTAATTCTTGCTTACCTTTGCTTCCTGCTTTCTCTTCCAGTCACCACTTCTTCAGGCTCAGACCAAAACCCCAAAACAAAACAATTCTCATGCTCTCCTTCAGCTTGCTCTTACCTGTAGATCTGTGACCCCACTCAGAGGAC